AGTGGATGAGCGCTCTCCAGTCCAGACTACTGCTGCCCAAGTTAATGCTACAACACATGGACCAGCCTGCGGAACGGAGTGCCTGCAGATAGCTGCTCTGGGGGCTCCAGAAACATTCTTGCTGCAATCTGGCACTATAGCTGCTCTGAGACTCTGAACAGCTGGAGCAAGATAGCCACAAGCACCCTCCCCACTCATCTATAGATAGCTCTGTGTGTTGGCCACGTGTGTCTGCAGATTCTCCAACAGCACACCATGGAAATGGCCACCCTCATGCAGGGGTTTCAGCCAGTCCATGGCTTGTTCCAACAATTTGTGAAGTATTGTAATTGAAGGACATCAGTCTCGTCATGCCTTTGGCATCCTGCTTCCATGTCCGACAGCTCCAGTGCTATTCCTGTGGTGATGTAACCATAGAGTGACTCTCTCTCTTTTGATCATCAGTGCACTCCAGTGAGTCCAAACACCCTAGCCAGAATTTTCAGCTGTCTCATCCCTCTGAAAATCAGGCCCCTCTAAAAGTCTCTCTGCGTATTCTCTTTTGTCTGTACTGGGGCACAACTCCTCAGGTGGGCACCAAAAATGAAGACACTCAAAATCACTAACATTTCTGAAAATCTTGGCTACTGGTAACAGCTGAGGTCTTCAGATCCAAGCCCCTCTCCATCAGCCAAATGATACACCCGGAGAGTCCACATGAAAGCTCCACAGCAGCTGCTACAAATGCACACAGGCCAGGTCCATTGGTAACCCAGGACTGTATACTCAGAAGCACGAGTTAGCACATAGATTGGAAACTCCATGGCAACGCCACTAGGAACTAGGATAGTTCTCAACAATGCCACTTCATTATCTCTTGATCGCTGGATGCTGAGCTCCTGGCTCTGCTGTAGAACATCTCAGATGGGAGCGTGGAGTGTTATATGTTCAGTTCTTATGATCATCAGAGTCTATACTAGTCCCTGTACAGTCTCTAGATAAATTTGACCAAATAGTGCATCAAGAGATGTTCCAGTCCCAGCAGCTTTGAGGTGTCAGGTTTATACTGTAGGCCAGAGCAGCCGAACAGGATTTTATGCAGAAGAGGCAAAGCACCCAGGCTGTCTTCAAGCTGCCCCCAGACCTGCACAGGACATTGTAACTGACTACTCACAAGTGCAAAGTGTGTGTTGAGATGGGTTGCATTGGCGTGGGTATAATCCTTCAACATCCTGGAGGTCTGTGTTAAACTGTGTAAATGGTTTGTGAGCGAGAAGGAATCTAATGGTCCCACTCCAGTCCCTGCTTTCCATACCACAGCATCACCGTACTATTCAGCATGACTGGCACTCCCTGCTCAGGAGAGGGTCATCTGCAACATGGGGTCATGCTGTAGAAGATTACAGCAGGTGAGTTCCAGCTCTGCCAATTAGCTGCATCGAGTGTTCTTAGACCCTCCAACTGATGAGAATGAAGCCCATTCATAAATAACAATGTTGTAACAAATCCATCCACCTACCCTTAAACACTGAAGATGAGTCTATTCCACAACCATAAAAAAAAATGCAATACAGAAGGGTATATGCCCTGGCAAAGAACAATTAAGTTAACGCCCATAAGGTGGGGTAAAGTCCACCCAAGGACATTCATGCACTCTCATATATTGCAGGTGTGAACATGGTATGTGCTTTCTTCACAGGATGTTGTACTAACAGCATCACACACACATCTGCTGTAACAATGAAGGCTTATTATGCTCTAGTACAGATGGGACCTCAAAATCACCATGCTGAGACGTTCTGCTTCCTATGTCTAAATAAACTGAGCAGGATATGAGATTTAAGTCTGATTAAAGTCACTGGCATGTACTAATTACACCAGCATCATTGAAACACCACCCTTAAGGTTTTTACGCTGAGCCATCATCCGTATCTGAGGTGCTGGTTGAAATGCAAGCAGTTGTTACTGCTCTGTGTACAGACACAGCTCAAAGGCAGTTTGATCTCAGACAGTCTGCTGTCACCACCTTGTGGCAAAAAGACTGTATGGCCATTCACTGGTCTAAAGCAACCACACAACCCATTGCACATCAAATCATTTTTAGGGGAGCGATATTCCACTGGCCCCTGTCTGGTACGTTTTCCTCAAGGCTTTTATGGGATTACTATTCCTTTTATGGTGGTGGTGAGTAAAAGATCACAGATTAGATTAGGGTTCCTTTCCATTTTTGTATCTTCCTCTGATAAATTAAGATTAAGCTTGATAAATTTATGGAGGGGATGGTTTGATGGGATAACGGGATTTTAATCAATAGATCAATAACGTGCCATTGAAGGTCAATAGTCAATGCGGGTCTGGCTGGAGAATCTTGCCCACATGCTCGGGGTTCTGCTGATCGCCATATTTGGGGTCGGGAAGGAATTTTCCTTCAGGGTAGATTGGCAGTGGCCCTGGAGGTTTTTCGCCTTCCTCCGCAGCATGGGGCAGGGGTCGCTTGCTGGAGGATTCTCTGTGACTTGAAGTCTTTAAATCATCATTTGGGGACTTCAACAGCAGAGTCAAGGTAGAGAATTATTCCAGGAGTGGGTGGGTCAGCTTTTGTGGCCAGCATCATGCGGGAGGTCAGACTAGATGATCATAATGGTCCCTTCTGACCTTAAAGTCTATGAGTCTATGAACTCCCTTGGAATAAGGATGCAAAATGTTAACTGGTTAACCGATAAGCATCAGTATTGGTAAAGTATTCCAGTTAACATTTAAGCTCCAGCTGCGGGACTCCGCTGCCGCCCCACCCCTGGGGTCCCAGCTGCCAGCCCTGCGCCACGGGTCCCAGCTGCCAGCCCTGCGCCCGGGGCTGTGCGCGGGGGGCCAGCCGAGTCCTGGGCGTGCAGGGGGGTTCCAAAGAGGATGGAACTCGGCTGTTCTCAGTGGTAGCAGATGACAGAACAAGAAGCAATGGTCTCAAGTTGCAGTGGGGGAGGTCTAGGTTGGATATTAGGAAACAGTATTTCACTAGGAGGGTGGTGAAGCACTGGAATGTGTTACCTAGAGAGGTGGTGGAATCTCCATCCTTAGAGGTTTTTAAGGCCCGGCTTGACAGCCCTGGCTGGGATGATTTAGTTGGGGACTGGGCCTGATTTGAGCAGGGGGTTGGGACTAGATACCTCCTGAGGTCTCTTCCAACCCTAACCTTCTAGGATTCCTTAACCGGTGGCAGCAGCAGAGCCCCGGGTGCACAGGGTGGCAGCCAGGACCCGTGGTGCGGGGCCAGCAGCAAGCGGAGTCTTGGGGCGTGGGGGCGGCAGCCTGGACCCCGGGCGTGTGGGGAGGCAGTGGAGCCTAGTGGTTAAACTTCTAAGTAGTAAAATTTTAATAGTTTAAGCGTTTACTATTTTTAAACATTAAACAAGAACAGGCATAAAGACGGATTCCACAGTCTTCTCAATAGTGGCATTTTCATTATTTTAAACTTGGTGGTGGATATTTTTGTGCACTTTTCCCTTCCCTTTTATATTTTCAGCAATGGAAATTCCTACTTCCATTTTTCCCTGAGTGAAATGCAGAGAATGAATGAACCCTTGAGCTGACATTTTCCCACCCGTCACAGAGGAGGAGACGGGACGGATTGCAAGAAGCACAGCTGAGTTTTGGGACTGAGCAGCCAGAGAGCAGAGAGGCAAAGCACCTCCGAGGTGGAAACATGGTGCAGCCTGCTACATGGACACATCAGTGTAAACGTATTTGGTTCACGGCTGAAAACCACCCTGTCTGTGTACTGAAATTAGCTACTGAGGCAGAACATATCCATTATAGCAGCAACTCACAGCCTGTGGCTCTGGGACCACATGGACTGCTTTAGCCCGGCATGCAGCTCTCATTTTGAGTTGAATGCTTCCCATGACAACTGTGCAATGATGCGCTCCATCAAGAACGCTGGCTAAGTGCGTTCCGCCTGCATGTGCCGTGGGAGGGGCAGGGAGTGAAGACACCTGCTCTAATAGGTTAGTCCATAGAACACTGCCAGATTATCATCTACACTCCGCATTTGCAGAGGGCTCCTTCCTCACTGCCCAGCAGCTTGCAGTGCAGCATGCAAAGGGACCATAAATGGCACCAAGTCAGAAGGGGGTAATGGCAGCACAAGGAGCCAGGCAATCACAACTCTGCCACCCTTGGATGGTGCAACAGCTTGTTAGCTCTTCCAAGTGGATTGGCTCTGCATGAGAGCATGTGACTTATAGTCCCTTCCTGGCCTTAAAACCTCTTATAACCAACCTCTTGATGGGGGGGAGGGATAGCTCAGTGGTTTGAGCATTGGCCTCCTAAACCCAGGCTTGTGAGTTCAATCCTTGAGGGGGCCACTTAGGGGGATCTGGGGCAAAATCAGTACTTGGTCCTGCTAGTGAAGGCAGGAGGCTGGACTCAATGACCTTTCAGGGTCCCTTCCAATTCTAGGAGATAGGGTATCTCCATTAATCCAGGGCAGAGAATTTCACCCAGTGAGTCTAATAAATTGAGGTAGAGCATATTTTTAAAAAGACACATCTGATCTCAATTTAAAGACTGCAAGTGATAGAAAATCTACCACCTCTCTAAGTAAGTTGTTCCAATGATTAATTCCCCTGTCAAAAGTTTGCACCTTAATTCAGTCTAAACTGTCTAGCTTCAGCTTCCATCCATTGGATCTTTGTCTGCTAGGTTGAAGAGCAGGGCCAGCGCAATCCATTAGGTGACCTAGGCGGTCGCCTAAGGCACTACAATTTGGGGGGCGGCGACCGCGGCGGTATTTCGGCGGCAGAACCTTCCGCCGCCTCTGTGGGGGGCAGCATTTCGGGGCGGGACCTTCCGCCGCCTTGGGCGGCAGAAAAGCTGGCAGCGTTCCTGTTGAAGAGCCTTCTACTAGGTGGTCAGACTAGATCATAATGGCCCTTTCTGCCATTAGAATCCATTGATCTGACATGACAGAGCTGGGTACGTCACGTGAGGGAACCAAGAGCAGTAAGAAACATGGAAAATTCACATAAAAGATACTACAAAGTGTTTTATTTTTGATAAGAAATTGAGGTATACAGTTATAGGTATGCTTTGCACAGCACGCAGGCTACATGACAACAATGTCCAACTCAGCTGGAAAAGGCACTGCTTGGAGAATACAAGGCTCCCACAAGCTTCATTTTGTCACTGGAAAGAAACCCTTGCTGTACAGAGATACAAATAAATAGCTGGTAACAACACAGGAGGCCTGAAATTACTCACTTTATGAGGAGACCGTACAAGTTTTTCCGCACACAGCACAGGACAAGCCTGGCTGGCTGGCTGAGAGCATACAGTAAGATTCCCAGAGATAGCACAGGAGGGGGGTATTACTGAGCCCAAGCGGGCAGGCGTTAGACATGAGAAGAAGCCCAATGGGACACAGGAAGGAACCGAGAAAAATGCTGCTGAAATCATGAAAGAGGTGGGGGGTGGGCGAAGGGCACAGTAACAGCACACTTGACAACATGAGGAAGAACCCATTAACTGCAGGGTGTTCTGTTCAAATTTAGAGGAAAAACATACTGCTGAACTCTGAAAATTATGGCTCCCCTTTTTCTTAAACAGACCTATCGGAGACCTCGCAGAACCATGAGCCAGATTAAAATCGCAAGACAGAAGTCTACCTGATGCACACCACGAACAAAATATTGCATGTAGCCGACTCTGAACAGTGAGAGTGTCAAAGGCTTCATATTTGTGAAGTGTTTTCTCAGACGGCCATTGCACTCTCTTCTGCCCACACTGCAGTTAATGTAACAGCTCCCCATGCCACAATGGCTGACAGAAGGGGGTACCCCACTACTCTGCTTCCATGTGCCCTTGCTGAGTGTGACATTTCAGTCCCAAGGGAGAGTGTCACCTGCATGCAGCTGTACAGGTTCACTTGGGAGATTTGATGGTGACGCAGAATTAAGGGGAAGAGCAAAGAGTCCGATGACCTTTATAATGGCTGGTCAGTTTTAGCATGTCTGAAACCAGGGATGAAGTCACGCCCTGTAACCGTTCCAATGTGCACCAGGCCAGGAGTGGAGGGGGAAAGAAAGAATATGCCATTCTGCAACCCCTATGCAGCTGCAAAACACCCTCAAGCCTAAACAAGCAGCTCCACGCTTTGAAAAGTTCTTCTTGCAAAGCAGGAAACTCCCCAAATGCTGTTTATATTTGCCTTGATTTGAGTGAGTTTAACATGGGAGAAAGGTGCTGAATGACAGCTCTATAAAATGAAGCGTCCTGTTTAGAGAGAACATGTACATGACAGGCAGTGCACGCTTTCCCTCGCAGCCCCACTAAACAGAACCCAACCAGCTTTGGGGTTGCCAACGTAGTTCAGCCTTTATATATTTTAGCCACTGACCTCTCTGCCAAGAATTGCTATTAAAGGTGCTAGCTGTGACACTGGTCTGTGTTCTGGTAAAAATACCCTTTATTATGAATATGAAATGCATTTTTGTACCAGTTTGACATGTTAAAAAATTACTATTTGATTTTCCCTCCAGAACTGCACATTCTGTACACAATCTGCAGCCCTCACAAAGTGCAGGTTACAACACCTAAATGTCCTCCTTGTAAACAGATAATACTACAGTGAGTCAAATAAAGCTGAAAAGAAAATAACCACCTGAACATAGGAATGTGGTACAGACTATAGCTATGTTATAGATACAGCACTTAAAAAACAAACATTGAGTGAAAACATTTTTGCTGCCTCCTAAAACAATGCTTGGCCTCTTCAATCTAAATTAAACATTTAGAGAGTGAGTATATTGTCCTGGCATACCAGCTATACCAAGAACCGAATCCTTACCTCACTTCATTTTGACCAGTTATATCAGTGCCTGGTCAGGAGAATGACCATGGTATTGCTACCCAGTTGTGCTTAAAACCCAGACTCAGAGCTAACACCAAGAAGAGGAGGAGGAGGAAGTGGTAGCTTGGCTAGAAAGAGATGTTTCCTGTGAGTGTTCTCTTGGTTTGGTGAGCTCGCCACTTACTGCAGTCCTTTGGAGTGGTTTTATTAATAAACAATTTTCCAGTGGGTTGGCTGTTCACAGTTTCTCTCTTTCTCACCACAAAATCGGTTGTAAGTGGTCTTAGGGTCAAATCCCAGGATCTCCCTTTCCTCGTGAATCCGGAAGGAAAATGTTGAAACTGAGGTGCCTGTAAAATACCTGTGAAGGAAAACAGAACTGGTTATTGGAGAAGGGTTTCTTTTTAAGATAAAAATAATGGCCTTATCAATGTATGATCTGTTTATAATGAGTTATCTGTAATCAGAAACACAGACATTACTGCATCTCATTCAGTCGCATTATTTAGGTTTGCAAGATTCAATAATTTTAAAATCGGACTTCACATACAAACCTAACAGACACAGACAAAAATCAAACTAGCTACCTAGCATGTGCACAGATCCACTGGTCAATAATTGCTATTCCTCCATCTTTGTAGAGTTCTAGCTCCTCCCAAGTGGGTTCAAACCTCACCATCTCAGGCAGTAATTTCTTGAGCTCTTCAGTCTCTGAGAGAAAAAAAAAATATCATAAGCCACCCGGCACAGTACCGTTCGAGAAAGTGACTAATTTTGTCCTATACCTACATTCCACTGAACAGCTGGACAAAACTGGCAGAAAGATTACAAAGAAGAGGAAGCTCAAAACTGACCTAGGATTTGTAAAACACTTCTTGCTACATGACTGGGCGGTTTTGGGGACAGGTGCCAATGAAGGCGTGTTAGACACACATTGCAAGGATGAGATAGCAAATGCTGATGGAGTGAGGGGGCCTGGAATTGATGGGCCTGGGAAACAGGTGGTACCACTAGTCTCACTTTCTAACCCTACAGAAGCAACAGACGGAGAATGATTGCACATCTAGGTTATATGCCACAATGGCCTCCCCTCTCAGTGCTTTTTTAATGTCACCCATGGAATCATATAAAGAAAAGTTGCAGTGGAAATGGGAAAGAAGAGGAAGAAAAGACAAAAATAGCCACCCCTTACCAGGAGAGACTATTAAAAACAATGTGAGATGTTTTCCTGTGAATTTAATGCATATGAAAGGTGCTACTTTGAGCTAGTCATGATGATAGCTATGTGGACATCTGCTCCTGGGAACTGGACCAGAGCATCACGCTTGTTTCATGCAGATGGCCAAACAGCCTGCATGAAACACCCAGTGACTACTTTCTAGGCACTACCTATTTGGGCTGGATTTGAACGGTCAGCATGGAGATGAAAGGCTCCAGCCTCCCTTTTAATTTCCTGAGCTGTTCAGTCTCCCAGGAAGGCTATCAATATTCAATAATCCATGAATATGAAGTGACAACTGTTGCCACAATGACCAATCTCTATTGTGAAGTACGACCAAGGATTAGGCAGGGTTGGAAAGCGGCATACCCTCCACAATGGCATCAGTAGCTATGAAAACTCTCTTAAGTTTATGCTTCTCCATGAGGCTGCGGATTTTCTTCACTGCTCCATGAAGGCTTGGCACATCTTCTCTGTGACCCCAGATGAAGTCTTTTCTTCTGAGGTGAACCCCAAGGTATGGCCCGCCTACAGCAGTGCCCAGCTTTACCTGTCAGAGAACAATCAGCACATGGTGTAATCAAAATACGCTGGTATCAACTCGGAATGAAAAGGGTCTTGAGTACATGAACACTTGCGCTGCAGTATGTAAAGCGTTGTGTTAATCCAACTAAAGCGAGGTGTTGTAAGGTGTGTGTTGACAATATTTTGTAGCACTTACAGCTGATTACTGTGTTTTGATATCTGGCAGCAATGAATAAATAAAACAGGCAAGACGGAGAGAGCGGTTTATAAAGATCTCAAATTTATCATCCAAGAGGGTCCTCATTAGACTAAAGCAGCAACTGACAGTTCTGAAGAGAACATTGCTCCATCCAACAATAGACAATAGGGAACAAGCAGCCCGTCATGGAAGTGGGTGTGGAAAACTGTGCTCAAAGTGGCACCCTGGGATCCCCATATTCACCACTGTCCTAGAACTGGGATGTGATCTGTACAGCGTATGCCTTGCGAGGTATCATTTTAAAAGGCTTGATCTGTTGACCATTAATATCCTGTGGATTGTGTGTGCTGTCAATGTACGGGAAGTTATGGAGTTTTGCTGTGTGTGTGTTACTGAAATATGTTGTGAGGCTGGGAACACCCACAACCAGCCTTTCAGGTGCAACAATGGAGGAGCCAGATGCTGCTGACAGCCCATTAAAGGACTCCACACTTCCAAGGACTATCGCAGGAACCGTACACAATGGAGACTTCTCAGAGGTAGCACAGCGACAATGGAGACTGCTTCACTTACCTCATAGCAAAGATCTTCCCAGCAAGCTGGAAGAAACTATAAAAGAGGGGAAGTGACATCACTACTTGGCCTCACTCCCCCCCCAACTCAACATGTGGAAACTTCTGAAAGACTGAACTGGGGAGGCAGCCCCAGGCTAAAGGAGAGTTCCAGCCTGTGTATGGAGATCTGTAACCTGCTTGTATGATCTATCAGGGTGAGACGGCCGGATTCAAATCCTGCCTAGTTTATAGAACACAGATTGGGATTTTACTTTTATTTCTTAGGTAACCAACTTTGAGATGTACGCTTATTACTTATAATCACTTAAAATCTACCTTTCTGGAGTTAATAAATCTGTTTTATGTTCAGCATTTTGGCTGAAGTGCTTGGGAAATCTGCTGAGGAACAAGAGCTGATGCATGTCCTGTCCACATTGAAAGGGCGGTGGACTGGGTTATAAACCTATACTGGTCAGACTTCTGACCAGAGCAGGTCGGTATAGCCCTGGGGTCCTCAGCTGGGGAGCTGGGGGAATTGGCTGGAGCGTCTCTATTGTTTGTTCATGAGTGGCTAGGAGAAGCATTCATGTAACTCAACTGGGTGTGGCCCTGCCCGTGGTTGTCTGTGTAAGTGCAGTACCTGGAGAGGTTTGCAGCTTGTCACAATATCACAGTGTGAGAGGGACCCCAGGTTGGTAAGCCCTCAGCGGTAAGCCAGTTCCAGGTTGCACCCAGGGAACCCATCACAGTGGGATCATATGAAACCTTGCAGTGCTGCTCTCTAACACAGAGTTCAGTCAACTGACTGGGCAAACTTCATCCCAGAGCGGGGAAAACCTTGGAAGGGCAGAGAGACTACAGGTGCTGAGTGCTAGAGTCATCACATTCATAGTTACTTCCCAATCCCTCTCAAAGTGCAGACAAAATACTAAACAAATCTATTGGATACATCTGTTACAGGAAAAACAGACTACAAACTACTTTACCTTCATCTGTGTCCAGTCCTCATTGTAGTCTGTCCTGTCTGCCTCATCAGTGGAGTGAAGGTATTTCCTCCTAAACTCATCCCCCACCACACGCAGGTGTTTAGCAAACACCATACTTCGACGGGTCTGTCAGGATGAGAGGAGATACTGAGTGACTGGCTGGGAGTAGGGAAAGAGCTATAAACACGTGCATGTGAGAAGCTGCTTCCATTTAGAGCTCCTGGAATGGGGTTACTTTTAACACATTCCAGCAATGCTGCAAGGTAACAATTTCCAGCATTTAAGGGTACTTTTTACCAACCTGTGGGTAACTGCACTTACATCCCATATACACAACTCGTCACTGCAGGAGTGTTTCAAAAGTGCCTTTTAATAGCTAGACCTACAAACTGGGGAAAGAGTAGAGATTTATCTACCTTGTAGTTTAAATTTAGTAATTTTTAATTTTTGAATAACACATTTCAAAACAGATCAAGTATAGTATTTATTTTACTAACAAATGTGTGATCAGCACCCAGCCAATGGCCAGTGCATCTGTTACACAAGTGTCCATAATGTTTATGTTCCTTGTGCCAGCACAGGGTCTGTCAGCCATTCCCCATGGTAGCAGAAAGATCTAAGTGTTAACACACTGGTCATTAAACTAGGAAAGCTCAATTTAGAAATAGTTTTCAGTGAGGTTCCTTTTCATTAAATCCAGTTGAAAAGCTGGTTAAGTAAGTATTCTGAGGTCACAAGTGATTTGTCCAGGGTCACACAGTGAGTCAGTCAGTGGTTTAGATGGGATTAGAACATACATAGCTCTCCCTTCCTTACTCTAGCCACCCCACCATATGGCTGCCCTGTTAAGTGAAGAAGCATTTCTGTACCAGATCAAGTACAGAAGTAGTGCAGCTCATCTTTTGGAAAGAAAAATGTGGAAAGACTTGTTAACTTGCAAAATTACTACTGGAATTAAACAGGCTCTACGAAACATGCCTTTAGCCACCCAAAGCCCCAATCACATTAAAAGGGAAACTGGCAAAAATGAAGCGATTCCCCATACCTGAGGGTATTAATAAATTTCAAACGTGTTTTGTGATACAGTTACCATCTGGAATCGAGGCAAAGCGGAAGCATCCTTGTTAGTACAAGCGTACAGTACTAAGGAAATTCTCTGTTACTGACTTCAGTTAACCACAATAATCTGAAGTTTGATCAAATTCTTGATTTACAAGCAAAATGATTTTTTCCCCATTGAGCAATGAACACTGCATGAAGATGCACCGAGGATGTTTGAATTTATTTTCAAGACAAAAATCCATTGGCACTTGGCATAAAAGCTTCTCTTCTCTCACCAGAGTGGTGAGATTCAGACAGGACTAGTCTAACCCCGCAGGCTGCCCTGAGTAAGGGACCATGGATAGCTGCACTACTCCAGGAGCAGAGCGAGAACGGCCTGGCATTCTGACGACCAGTCGCTCAGGCTCTCTTTTCCCCTTGCTCTAGCAGTGAGGGGGGCTTTTCCTCCCTTTTCCTGTCACAGCTGACTGCCCTGAACTCCAGCCACAGTAGTGGGCTGAGCACACAGAGAGAGCAGAGCCAGGGCTCCTTCCCCTCCATACGCCCTGCTCGCAGTGTGGAGAACCAGGTGAGTAGCCCCTGGGTGAGCACTCTGATAGTGCTTCTAATGGAGCACGATGAAACTGCACTGCCGGGGGACTGTTCACGTGTGTGCCCCGCTCACAACACCACCACCGAGCAGCAGCCTCCAGTGCCAGTTTTTTCTCCACCTGTTATTGCAATAAATAATTAAGCACGACACAAAGCTGATTCACAGGCCAGCACAAAGCGGAAACAGAGTGTTTTACTCCAAGAGGCATGCAAGACGTATCCATAGAAGTCAATGTAAACATCCCCCCACTGGCTGTGGCAGTGCAATACATCAGTGAGAGAGACTGATTAGAGAATCTGTGGCCTCCCTACTCCCACTAAAGATGCCAGTGCTGTTATATCTCTGGCACTTGCATGTTACATTGTGACAGCTTAATTCTGTACATACAGCACTCATGTACTGGGAGATTAATTTATCAATGATCACATGGTATGTGTGTGCTCTCAGTGCTACAAAATACATAATAGAGAAGAAAAAGTGTGAACCTTCGCTGTAGTAATTTCAGAAGTTCACCTCCTCTGTGTAACTGGTTATTCCTCGTTTACTAGGAGTATTCATTGCAGACTTGTGGACATTGTTAGCAGTGCAGTCATCTTTGACACCTAACCTAGCTTCTTTTCTCCTTCCTTCTAGTTTGCTAAGGTCTTTAAACGAATTCCTTTTGTTGGGCTGCTCTCCATTAGTGAACATGCGAAGGGACTCAATCCCACCAATGTTCTACTTCAACACCTTCCAAAAGAGGAGACCACCAAAAAGGTCAGAGCCGGAGATTGTTGGGTTCCCCAGAATCATCTTCAGGAGAACTCCCTGCCTCCATATTACCTCTACGGCCCAAGGACTGCCTTCATGGGATAGCACTTCCCTTTACAGGACTAAACACCGTTACTCCTAACCGACCTTGGGACGTCTTTCCTGGTACAGCACCATATAACCCACCCTTCAACCACTAAGATCCTTCAAACTAGAGTTTCCGGCAGCAAACTCTAACCAACTTCCACTGAAGTCAACAAGCGTCTTTCCCTTGACTTTAATGGGAACTAAATTCAGAGTTGTGAAAAAAAACCAAGTGCATATTATTCAAGTGTCTCTTCTCTGACCCCCTTGTTTTTGAAAATTAATGGAGATATCCTATCTCCTAGAATTGGAAGGGACCTTGAAAGGTCATTGAGTCCAGTCCCCTGCCTTCACTAGCAGGACCAAGTACTGATTTAGCCCCAGATCCCTAAGTGGCCCCCTCAAGGATTGAACTCACAAGCCTGGGTTTAGCAGGCCAATGCTCAAACCACTGAGCTATCCCTCCCTCCTAAAACAGCATCACTGAAATATTTACATGAACATAACATATATAAAAGTATTTTGAGACTAGAAACATTAGACTCCAATTTCAATTTGAAAAAGAAAGCTATTCTAAACGTTTAAAAAGGACATGATGAGAATACTAAAGTTCTCAGTCACGCCACTTAGGAAACAATAAAGCAACTAGGAGTCCAGTGGCACCTTAAAGACTAACAGATTTATTTGGGTATAAGCTTTCTTGGGTAAAAAACTCACTTCTTCGTTGCATCTGAATAAGTGGGTTTTTTACCCACGAAAGTTTATGCCCAAATAAATCTGTTTCTCTTTAAGCTGCCACCGGACTCCTTGTTGTTTTTGTGGATACAAACTAACATGGCTACCCCCTGATAATAAAGCAACTGTACCTTCCAGAAGCCCAGAAGGAAACAGGAATGGGTGGAGTATTGAGTGACTGGAGACTGCAGTGTGACTCATTGATAAAATCAAATGTCATTGGATGTTGAAGAGGGAAGTGCGTGGAGTTGCATTGTTGGGGATGGGGGGCTGATTTGTTACAATCTAGAAACATCTAGAAGGTGGGTAGGGCATCTGTTACCATGGTTGCTATACAAAGTGGGCGAGTCATCTTACTTTCCAGTCTTCATGGAGTTGTATTTATTTCATAGTAGTGTCTCATTTCAACTATAGTAAACGTGAAAGCTGCTGATCAATACTGCAAATGGGTGATTAGTGTTTAGGGATCTTCATATCAATGAATTAATTTATCTGACTCAACATGCCTATAGATGAAGGAAGTGATTGGATGACTGAAATAATGAAAATAGACTATTTTTCTAAGTAATTCTTCTAAATGGAAACATTGTCAAGACATGTCACTCTGCAAGAAAAATGCAGTAAACTCATTTCTTTGGATCCTTCATGATCAGATGTGTCACTTAACAAAATCTTGGCTATTGAAGTGGAAGAGCACAACGCTGATGATTCTGATGATTGTGCAAGTGAGACATTTACAATACTGACATCATCCTCAAAATGTAGCCACAATTATTTAAGTCCCTGATGCTGGTATTCCAGCAGCTCTTCAATGTTCTTCTGAAACCACCCTCAGCCTCAGGGATGGATGACTGAAAAAAGGATTGATGCCCCAGTTTTCAGGGAACTCTCAGGAAGACTGTGTGACTGTATTTGCATTCAACAAGTAAGCTGAAATATAAGACTAGCACAAGGAAGACTTTCATCAAAACACAGCACACATTTTACACAACTAGGGACTCTACAGAGAGCACTACACTTACAAAAGGAACTGAAGGAGGTTTGGACAAGCTGCTGACACTACTGTCACAGGTTTCAGAGGGGGAGCTGTGTTAGTCTGTATCAGCAAAAACAACGAGGAGTCCTTGTGGCACCTTAGAGACTAGTGGGTTCTAGCCCCTGAAAGCTTATGCCCAAATAAAGAAGTTACTACTGTCACAGTTGCCATGCAATTCTGCCTTGACCTAATTAACTGGAATCACACAAGGATAAAATCAAAAGGCATTTCAAAGACGCTATGTAACCTTTCCATTGTTTAGCAGGTGCAACTTATCCCAAATAAAAAGGTGACAGGAGGAGCCCAAAACAGGATGAGGATGATGGAAAAGTGCTGATCGAATGTAATCATTAGTTTCCTTTTCTTCCATCATTTAAAAGTGGAGATCCAGATTTCTACCTAGAAACTACGTTAGCTAAGATGTTTGTATCTCACAAGTTTGTTGCTTCAAAATGGTGGAAAACTGTGTGAGTAAAATCACAGAAAACTCGTAAAAGACCTGCATGCCTGCCTAGCCAGCACACAATTTATCATGCAGGTTTATAGCACTTAGCGAGGTCAACACTTGGTAACAGAATATAGTAGGTGCAGAAAAAAAAAATGATACACAAAACGGTGGTAGAAATCTAAGTAGTTAGCAGATACGAGAACCTGTTCTTTTTGTAAGATTGCAGGCTCTTTGCTTTGGCCAACATGTACAACTTTTTATGTGTGAGAAATAAAGCAGCTGATGATGGGAATCACATAATATGAGTTTTGTGTTCACTGCATAAAACTTGCAAACATGGTCGTCAGCTGGATTCTGTTGGTGAAAAAAAAAAAACTCTTTGGATGAGGCTCTTAGCTATTGAAATGGTACGAGCGCTAATACTTCGACTGTTGTCCCATTTACAGGACCTGGATATTTGCGCTGTAACCCACACACAAGTTCAAATCTCATGCACTGGGATCATTTTACACCTCTTCTATATTTTGCTACTGTGATAAAACGAAGAAACAACTTCAAGTCAGATGTTTTATCACAAGTGAGTCTAGCTCACAAGAACAGATACTGTCATAAAAAAATTATAAAATTATAAAGCAATTTATTCAAACAACTGCCCACCCATAATGGGACAAGCATTTTAGAATTTTTAACATTTAAATTTAATATTTTTATTATTTGCATTTTAATACTAAATTTCTTGATGACTGAAAACATCCTTTGTTACTGATTGTATTATATATGGCAAATATTGTTGTACAGTATTTTGCTGCATAAGATAATCTTCACAAATTCTCTGTCTATACATATATATGGAGATATACCTATCTCCTAGAGCTGGAAGGGAACCTGAGAGGTCATCGAGTCCAGCCCCCTGCCTTCACTAGCAGGACCAAGTACTGATTTTGCCCCAGATCCCTAAGTGGGCCCCTCAAGGATTGAACTCACAAGCCTGGGTTTAGCAGGCCAATGCTCAAACCACTGAGCTATCCCTCCCCCCATAGACATCTATATCTAGGACATCAGCTGGAATTAATACAGCTAGAACCACTACTCCAGAAGCGTAAAGGAATTCGTATGGTAAACATCTCTCTAATTAAAATTATGGTTATTAAAAAAACTGTTTAAAATAAGAACATTCTCCAGGAGATTATGAATTTTGATCAAGCAAATTTAGGCCTTAAAAGTCTATAATGCCTGTATCAGAGAAGATACATTATGACACAAATGGGTTTTATGTCCTATTTTTACAGATTAGTATTCAGTCTTAGAAATTATGATCCATCCACATCTCTTTATTATGGGGGAAGTTTTCCCTCACAAGTAATTCATGATTTACTTTTTCTGAATTACCCAAGAAAATAATTTGTTAGCTGAGCTGATAGGACTACTCATGGGTTTAAGTCAAGCACCTGTGTGTTTGCAGGTTCAAGGCCTAGGATCATAATTTGTTTGCTCTCTCCAGCAAGCTCACCTCCTCTTGAAAATTAGAAAGCAACTGTAATCATCTGTAAACCAAACCTGGATAGATTTTTTTTTTAACTCTAACTCATCTTCAAGATCTAAGAAATTCATGCACCCATACCAGCTGAATTGTACTCTCTGAATTGTGTACATAAATCTAGTTCAGCTTCACAAGAAACAGGGAAACAGAGAACATTCAGTCCATCACATCAAAACCACTGATTCAGTGATGAAAATCTTAAACTTCCAACCTTGATGCCTCCTATTAAAAGGCTATTGTTTGGAATTTCTGAAACACTCGGGGTTGACCTAACTCTACTCCCGATGAAGTCAGAAATTAGGCCATTGTTAAGCATTTTGGAAAATCCCACCTGAAATGTTTATAGTCTCAGGCCTGTACCTGTAAGGAGCCCTGTGATCAGCACCCTACTGACTTCAACTGCGCTCCAAACAGGAGCAGAAGTCCACTCACAGACAGCTCCTTGCAGGAGCTCGTGAACATTCTGTGTCTAATACAGCAGCTACACATCCTGCTCCATCAGCTGGCAATATACAATGTGCAGATCATCTACGAGATTGGCTGCTTCTCGGACTTCACAGCAAAATCATTAGCAACAAACACAGTCAATACTAGGTTTTTATTAATATCAAATAGAAAATCTGGAGAAGCGAATTAGAAAATACTCACATTCCAATAATCTCTCCCTCCGTAATGGTCATGAAGGAGGTTTTCAGCTCTGTCTAACATCACTGACCTGTTAAAAATCGTCAAGTTGAGTACAATTCCCTTAGAAATATAACTTGCATTACTATGTTTCCTTATACAGTAGCGAGGGAAGGAAAGACTGCCCTCTGTGTGCATAGTAAACATTGAGAGTGAAACACTTTCCTCAGCAGGTTATATTTACAGCAACAGGACCCTAAGCCTATTTGGTATAAGGAAGGCATTTCCAAATTGTGGCCCGGGGACCACTAAGGGCTGTCTTGTCACACAGTGCTGGCTCTCCTCATTATTGACTGCTAAAATTAATTAAGGTAATTAAATATAAACTCTCCTAATATTACGTCCCATCTAGGCACTTTACTCCTGGGGGGATTCTTTGCCAAAAAAATTAAAAATTCTGCATATTTTATTTGTCAAAATAATGCAATATAATCACACCAGTTTCAATTGTTTTGGTAATTTATTTAAATTACAATACAGAAAAAAAAGCCACAATAACTATTCAGCATGTATTAAATACATGAAAGTTAAGTTACAAATACTTGGTAGCTAACACCCTGCACTCCAGTTATAATCCTGGATTTTCATTTAAATTATATTACAGAACACCAAACGGGGGGGAAGTAGAATCTCATTTTAAATTGCTCAGACTTTCACACATGAAAGTCATATTGTCCTGGACCTGGCTTTGGGAAGTGTTGCTTCTATTAGTCCCGACATTTTATGGACTGCTTGGTAAATGTTTTATTTGCCCTCAAAGTCTTTTTTTTTTAAATGGGTAAATAAAATAAATCCTGAGCTTTAAACTAACCCTATTGTGCCACTTTGGCACAGGAAAAAAGTGAGAAAGCACATAGATCTTCCGAGTGATTCCCTTACTCTGGCAATGTAGGGACCTTAAAACTTTTACAGGTTTTATGTTCCTGGGGGAATTGACTAAGTATGGCAACAGTTATCTAACAATAAGAACATTAACAATGTTATTAAGCAGGCAGACTGCTACATTTCTGCCTCAGAGAATGAGAGCAATTAACAAACAGGCAGGCTGCTACATTTCTGCCTCTGGGACAGAGCCTTCCTCCTGGATAATAAAAAGACCTGCCCTTCCTACACCCCCAGCAAGCCCCAGGAGAAAGCAAGAGGGCAGAGTCTGGAACAGACGCGCTGCCTGGGCTGCCGGGGAAGAGGCGCGTGTCCCACCCCTAGATTTCTTTTGTATTTTTCTGTGAGGGGGGCACAGAAATATGCAGGCCATGTGAATTCTGCGTCCCCACAGGGGCCCAGAATTCTGTCAGGAGTACCATGTGTGGTCCCCGCATAGCCCTATGGCGGCTACTATAAGCGCTACTCCTGACAGAATTCTGCGCCTCTGTGGGAGGATGGGGGTGGGGTCTACATTTGTGGACAGGGTAGGGAGTGAGCCACACACATCTCTCTAAGGTACAGTCTATACTCTAAAAACATTTGTGAGCCCCTTGTGTGACAGGACCAGCCCTCCGGAAGCAAACAAGAGAACATCTCCAATGCAGAGAGGATCTGGCCACCCTTGTACATTTTAAAGGGACACTGAGTAAACTACCACTAAATAACTGGACAAATTCAAACTGGAAATAAGATATAAATATTTAACAGTAAGAACAATTAACCACTGGAACAACTTACTGAGGGGCGTGGGGGATTTTCCATCACTGATCATTTTAAAACCAAGATTAGAGTTTGGGGCAGCCAGAAATATATGGGAAGTAGTTTAGGTTTGTAGAATGAGCACACTAAGTCTGATCCAATTCCCACAGAAGTTTTTCCACTGAGTGGGATTTTTCTACTAAAACGATAAGCAGGTAAATAGTTTATCTTAACATTTAAATTTGAGTCATTAGGTATCAAAGTTAAAATCCAATTGAGCAGTTCACATCCCTGACAGTCTTTGTTTTAGGCCTTCGACAAACTCAGGAAGAGAACACAGCATCATTTCTGCTTGGCTTACATTTGAAAGGTTGTCTTCTGAACCATAAGAGGCAGATATTTAATTTCAGTTTTTAAACAAAAGTTGAGATTCTGGGAACAATTCTGTGGCAAAGTGGTAGTGTCTGTGACAAAATCCATGACTGCAGAAACACACGGGGCCACAATTATATATATTTTAACCTGTTCATAAACTTATGGTAAGGTTCTATTTTAGCTTAAATTGACCAAGTTTTGTATCACCCCAAAGGTGATTTAAAATAAACTGGAACAAAAAAATCTGTGAGTTATGAAAGAGTAACAAAACAAAACCAATCACAACCTCCCCCTATTTCCTGCTATAAACAAATGTAAGATCTTTGAATATTACATGGCAGCTGACTTTTACAAGTTTAAATTTTGTGGCTGACTAGTCCTTACTTAGGATTCGTCTCCAAGCTAGTTTGAAACAAAGTTGTATAAAACTAAAAAGATGTTAGACACATAGGTGACAATTTCAAGTTATTATTTACAGTACTACATAACAACATGCATCATATCAACATTCATTAGTTATATAGGCATGGTTTTGTGATGTTACTTTGTTGTGAACCACAGGTGCATAAGATTTCAAATACAGAGCCGTAGAATCTCATAGTAAAATCAGTAAAGAGTTTAGTTTTAGTCTTACCATTTTCAAAGAAAAAAGTGAAATGTGTTAATATAATATTGAGGTTAAAATTGTAAACATCGTAAAGAGAGAAAACACAAGAGTTAAAGCTCTGCTTGTACTACTGGCTCACATAGGACTTACGGAGTATTTTGGATTGCTAATTATGCTGTTAAAGCCAACATGAATACATACAGAACCAGTTCTGTCCTTTAATACTTCTATGCAACTCCCATCGCAGTCTGGGGGAACTGTACGTATTTATCTACACACAGAAGGAAAATGTGAAGATGAAAGTTGAGAAAAGCCTTGAGCCTTACTATATTTATCTTTACATTCGTGTGTCCTTTTATGAACTGCATGTCTTTAACTATGAGATTAAAGTAAACTCATCCTGTGTGTGGTAATCTCATTGTACAAATTCTACAACTACTGTTACCTCAACAGCCAAGCCAATCAGAGATGTCTCTATGCAGGATCACTTACGTTCTAATATTGCCCAGTTATATTTAAGGGTTATCAGTAAACTTATTGTGCATGTTGATCCAGGAGGTGCCTGGCAGCATCCACTACAGTTAAATCATTATCTGTGGTGCTTCTTCATGAGTGCCTCTTACGGAGGAGGAGGATGGCCTCCTGGATAAGGCACTCGATGGGAGGCAGGAAGACCTGGGCTCCATTCCCAGCTCTGCCACAGATCCTCTTGGGCAACTCATGCAGTGATATTTTCCAAAAGTGGCCAGTGAGTCTTGGTGCTAACTTTGAACCTGCTTTGAACTCTGCAGTTCCAACTGATAAGGACAGGAGCAGCAGGCGTGCTACACCTCTGAAAATCAGGCCCAAAGCAACTCAAGTCAGCCATCTGAAAATTAGCATTCATTTTTGAAAATGTTGATCTTACTCACTGCTCAACTGTTGGTCAGTAAAAATGGCGATAGTTATGTTTCTTAACTCCCAGGGTTGCTACAGGGATAAATTCATTATTTACCAAGTACTCAAATACTGGATGATGGTGGCTACAGAAAGGCCTATAAATAAAAGACAGATACACTATTGCTATTATTCAATATAACTGAATACTTAGCATCAGGAAACCCATGGCTATGTCTTGTCAGCTTGTTAGGAGGGGAGGGAAGGAGAGACAGTTTTCACTTTACTTGTGAAATCAGCAACATACTGATAATTGTTGAGTCAGCAATGTCCAAGTAATATTTGCCTTCTTAACTCATGGCACGTCATAGAACATGGTCAGAGGGATGAGACAACCTGCTCCCACAAAAGAGATGGAAGATGAAGGGAGGGGCAGAAGAATCTGGTTGGGAAAGAGGCACTAGGTGAGGGCAGGTTAAGCACTGCTCCTGGGAGCTCAGGGCAACCACATGGAAAGAAACTGGTCCTGAGCTTCCTCCTGCTCCCCTTCTGACACATCAGTCTACAGTGCTGCTAACCTCAGCTGTCCTCCCATCAGGCTACTGCTGGGAGGACATCATCTACTGCTAGGAAAGAAATGGACATGAATTTCTTGGTCTGCCCAGCCCCATCTCTAATGGTGGGCGGGGAGGAAACACACCAAATCTGAGATATTGCATCTCTGCCTCCCAAGCCTGCTGTGTTAGTTCACTCCTGACAGCGGATCAAACGGCTACTGCAAAGACAGCTGAGGACAAATGGAAACAAGGTGTATATATACACCTCAACAGGGAGAAAAGGAAGGAGCTCAGGACTGCTGCTTTGCACAAGTGCCTCAGAGGATGTTCCCAAATTATGGCTACCTCCTCTTAAATGCTACAATCAAGGTGAGTGCAGTGAGCAGGGCTGAGAAATGAGGCAATAATAACACGAGTAATAAGTGTGTATTCAGATTGTAAATTGTCTATGGGCAGGGTATTTATCTCCTTGTTCAGTACAATGCCAAATATGGTAATGACGCCCAAACAAACAGCAGGAACCAACACTATGGAAAAAAATATGTGCATTTTTAGTCTTCAAGTCAGCTATAATTTGGAGTTCTGATAATAGAAATGTAGAATATTGGGTTGGAAGAGACCTCAGGAGGTCATCTAGTCCAACTAAACCATCCCAGCCACGGCTTTGTCAAGCCAGGCCTTAAAAACCTCTAAGGAAGGAGATTCCACCACCTCCCTAGGTAACCCATTCCAGTGCTTTACCACCCTCTTAGTGAAATAGTTTTTCCTAATATCCAACCTACACCTCCCCCACTGCAACTTGAGACCATTGCTCCTGCTTCTGTCATCTGCCACCACTAAGAACAGCCGAGCTCCATCCTCTTTGGAACCCCCCTTCAGGTAGATGAAGGCTGCTATCAAATCCCCTTTCACTCCTCTCTGTGGCAGACTAAATAAGCACAGTTCCCTCAGCATCTCCTCATAAGTCACGTGCCCCAGCCCCGCATCATTTTTGTTGCCCTCCGCTGGATTCTCTCCAATTTGTCCACATCCTTTCTGTAGTGGGCTGCCCAGAAATGGACACAATACTCCAGATGTGGCCTCAACAATGCTGAATAGAGGGGAATAATCACTTCCCTCGATCTGCTGGCAATGCTCCTACTAATGCAGCCCAATATGCCATTAGCCTTCTTGGCAACAAGGGCACACTGTTGACTCATATCCAGCTTCTCGTCCACTGTAATCCCCAGGTCCTTTTCTGCAGAACTGCTGCTTAGCCAGTTGGTCCCCAGCCTGTAGCAGTGCATGGGATTCTTCCGTCCTAAGTGCAGGACTCTGCACTTATCCTTACTGAACCTCATCAGATTTCTTTTAGCCCAATCCTCCAATTTGTCTAGGTCCCTCTGGACCCTATCCCTACCCTCCAGCATATCTACCTCTCCCCGCAGCTTAGTGTCATCCGCAAACTTGCTGAAGGTGCAATCCATCCCATCATCCAGATCATTAATGAAGATATTGAACAAAACCGGCCCAGGTCTGACCCCTAGGGCACTCCCTTGATACTGGCTGCCAACTAGACATTGAGCCGTTGATCACTACCCGTTAAGCCCGACGATCTAGCCAGATTTCTATAAACCTTATTGTCCATTCATCCAATCCATACTTCTTTAACATGGTGGCAAGAATACTGTGGGAGACGGTATCAAAAGCTTTGCTAAAGTCAAGATATATCATGTCCACTGCTTTCCCCATATCCACAGAGCCAGTTATCTCATCATAGAAGGCAATCAGGTTGGTCAGGCATGACTTGCCCTTGGTGAATCCATGTTGACTGTTCCTGATCATCTTCCTCTCCTCCAAGTGCTTCAAGATGGAGCCCTTGGGGACCTGCTCCATGATTTTTCCAGGGACTGAGGTGAGGCTGACAGGTCTGTAGTTCCCCGGATTCTTTTTTTTCTTTTTTAAAGATGGGCACTATATTTGCCTTTTTCCAATCATGTGGGACCTCCCCCAATCACCAATTGGCCAACTCCCAATCAGCCAATCACATCAGCCAACTCCTTCAGCACCCTCGGAAGCATTGCATCCAGCCCCATGGACTTGTGTATGTCCAGCTTTTCTAAATAGTTGTTAACCTGTTCTTTCACCACCGAGGGCTGCTCACCTCCTCCCCATATTGTACTGCCCAGTGCAGCAGTCTGGGAGCTGACCTTGTCTGTGAAGGCCGAGACCTAAAAAAGCATTGAGCACTTCAGCTATTTCCACATCATCTCTCATTAGGCTGCCTCCCCTATTCAGTAAGGGTCCCACACTTTCCCTGACCTTTTTCTTGTTGCTAACATACCTGTAGAAACCCTTCTTGTTACCCTTCACATCCCTTGCTAGCTGCAATTCCAATTGTGCTTTGGCCTTCCTGATTACACCCCGGCATGCTCAAGCAATATTTTTATACTCCTCCCTAGTTGTCTGTCCAAGTTTCCACTTCTTGTAAGCTTCCTTTTTGTGTTTACGCTCCCTGAAGATTTCTCTGTTAAGCCAGGCTGGTCGCCTGCCATATTTGCTATTCTTTCTGCACATTGGGATGGTTTGTTCCTGAGCCCTCAATAAGGCTTCTTTAAAATACAGCCAGCTCTCCTGCACTTCTTTCCCCCTCATATTGGCCTCCTAGGGGATCCTGCCCATCAGTTCTGCTTTTCTGAAGTCCAGGGTCTGTATTCTGCTGCTCAATTTTCTTCCTTTTGTCAGGATCCTGAACTCGACCATCTCATGGTCACTGCTGCCCAGGTTGCCACCAATGTCTACTTCCCCTACCAATTCTTCTGTTTGTGAGCAGCAGGTCAAGAGGCACACGGCCCCTAGTTGGTTCCTCCAGCACTTGCACCAGGAAGCTGTCCCCAACACTGTCAAAAAACTTCCTGGATTGTCTGTGCACTGCTGTATTGCTCTCCCAGCAGATGTCAGGTGATTGAAGTCCGCCACGAGAACTTGGGCCTGTGATGTGGAAACTTCTGTTAGTTGTCCGAAGAAAGCCTCCTCTACCTCATCCTCCTGTCTGATGCCAGACATTTTATAACACTTCTAATGAACTATACTTCTCCAGTGAGGAGATCCCATCATAGTGTAACATGCCAGAAGCTGTGGCCACCTTTCTCCTAGTGTGTAGACAGGTTTTTGAACACACACAAAAATAACATAGAGGCAACTCACCGTGCTGAAGTGTTTTTCAAAAGAACAGGAGCTATGATAGAGGCTGATCCTTGGACAGACAGACAAGAGACATTTAGGCCCCGTGTTTCCTCATAACCCCAGAACCATCCCCTGTAAGACAGTAAAAAAGTCTCCAATTAATAGATCACCATTTTAAGATGAATTTGCTGTGTACAGTAAGATTAGTTAGCAGCACATCCTAGAGGAAAAAACAGTCTTTGGTCTCAACAAAAATGGACATCTACTCCTTAAAAAAACATAATATCTTTATAATCTGTACGCAATAATGATTGATTTAGATCTCTTGATTTTCAGAGTATATTTTGTTATTATTGGGGTTAAAAAAAAATCAAGTGAAAAAATGGAACAACTTTTTTCCTGATCAAAAGTAACTATTTGTAGAGCTAAAGTTACCAGGTTTTATATGAAAGTAAGTTGGTAATTTCTCCAACAAACTAAACAAAAGCATCTCTAACTCATTAGAGCATAAGAACAGCCAAGTGGTCCATCTCTTCCATCTGTGGCCAATGCCAGATGCTTCAAAGGGAATGAACAGACCAGGGAAATTATCAAGTGATCCATTCCATTGTTCAGGCCCAGCATCTGGCAGTCAGAGGTTCAGGGGCACGCAGTGCATGGAGTTGCATCCCTGACCATTTTGGTTAATAGCCATTGATGGACCTATCCCCAATGAACTTATCTAATTCTTTTTTGAACCCGGTTATAGTTTTGCCCTTCACAACATCCTCTGGTGACAAGTTCCACAGGTTGACTGTGCGTTGTGTGAAGTACTTCATTTGATTTTAAATCTGCTGCCTATTAATTTCATCCTGGTTCTTGTGTTATGTGAAGGGGTAAATATCACTTCCTTATTCACCTTTTCCACACCAGTCATGATTTTATGGACCACTATCATAGCCCCCCATTAGCTGTCTCTTTTCCAAGCAGAAAAGACCCTGTCTTTTTACTCTCTCTTCATATGGAAGCTGTTCATACCCTTAATCGTTTTTATTACCCTTCTCTGTAGTTAATATACATCTTCCTAGAGATGGGGAGACCAAACTGCACACAGTATTCAAGATATGGGAGTACTATGGGTTTATATAGCGGCATGATGATATTTTCTGTCTTATTATCTATGCTTTTCCTAATTGTTCCTAACAGAGGCGGCCGCAGCCTCTTCCCAGTCCGGGGGCTGAGGTGGGCTAGACAGAAAATCGGGGAGGTGCACACGAGGCCCTGCCCCTCTTTGTGGCCCCACCCGCTGCGCCTCCTCAGGTAAGTTCCGGCCACCCTCCTCCTCTCCCCCCCAGTCACCGGCCAGGGCTACGGCTGCTCCTGAGCTCCCTGCCGCCCTTCGATTGCTCGCAGCCAGTAGGGAGGGGGAAGCAGTAATCACAGAGGCGGGGCCCAGGAGCCCAGGCTGGAGAGGGTGAGTTTGGGTAGCTGTGGTGAGCCCCAGACCCTCCACGTGCGATGGGCAGCATGCCCTGGCAGGCACAGACACAGGCCAGGCACTGTTCTCAGGCACCCCGGCCCCCTGCCTGGCCTTACTCCTGTACTGTTGCTAGTGCTGCTACCTTCAGAGCTGGAAGCCCAGCCAGCAGCTGCTGCTGCTCTCTCCGCTCTGCCTTCAGAGGTGGGCAGCCGGAAAGTGGCGGCTGCTGCAGGGGGACTGAAGCAAATGTTGGGGTGGCTATAGTCCCCACAACCCCCGAAGATTTCTCTGTTAAGCCAAGCTGGTCGCCTGCCATATTTGCTATTCTTTCTGCACATCGGGATGGTTTGTTCCTGCAACCTCAATAAGACTTCTTTAAAATACAGCCAGCTCTCCTGGACTCCTTTCCCCCTCATATTGGCCTCCTAGGGGATCCTGCCCATCAGTTCTGCTTTTCTGAAGTCCAGAGTCCATATTCTGCTGCTCTCCTTTCTTCCTTGTGTCAGAATCCTGAACTCGACCATCTCATGGTCACTGCCTCCTAGGTTCCCATCCACTTTTGCTTCCCCTACTAATTCTTCCCTGTTTGTGAGTAGCAGGTCAAGGAGCACGGCCCCTAGCTGGTTCCTCCAGCACTTGCATCAGGAAGTTGTCCTCAACACTCTCCAAAAACTTCCTGGATTGTCTGTGCACTGCTGTATTGCTCTCCCAGCAGATGTCAGGGTGATCCCACTTCCCCACTTACCTCCGGGCTTAGGTCACCATCCCCCAGCGAACCTAGTTTAAAGCCCTCCTCACTAGGTTAGCAAGCCTGCCTGCGAAGATGCTCTTCCCTCTCTTCGTTAGGTGGATTCCATCTCTTCCTAGCAATCCTTCTTCCTGGAACAACATCCCATGGTCGAAGAATCCAAAGCGCTCTCTCCGATACCACCTGCGCAACCACACATTTACCTCCACAATGCGATAGTCCCTACCTGGGCCTTTTCCTTCAACAGGGAGGATGGATGAGAACACGACTTGCACCTCAAACTCCTTTATCCTTCTTCCCAGAGCCACGTAGTGTGCAGTGACCCACTCAAGGTCATTCTGGGCAGTATCATTGGTGCCCATGTGGAGAAGTAGGAAGGGGTAGTGGTCTGGGGGCTTTATCAGTCTTGGCAGACACTCCGTCACATCCTGAATTCTAGCTCCAGGCAAGCAGCACACTTCTCAAGTTTCCCGGTATGGATAACAGATGGATGACTCCATCCCCCTTAGGAGTGAGTCCCCGACCACCACCACCCGTCTCCTCCTCTTAGCATTGACGGTCGTGGAACCCCCATCCCTAGGAAAATGCATCCCATGCCTTCCTGCCGATGGGGTCTCCTTCTGATCCCTTCCCTCTGACGACTCTTCCAAACCATTCTCTGACATAGTACCTGTGCAGAGAGCCTGAAAACTGTTGCTTAGCTCAATCTGCATTGGGGGTACATGGGTTCTCACCTTTCTTCTTCTGGAGGTCACATGCTGCCAATTTTCTTCCCCGTTCTGCACTCCCCTCTCTGATTCTTCAGTATGCTGTGCCTGCAGTACCAAACGCTGACTTCTATCCAGAAAAATCTTCATTTTCTCTGATGCAACGCAGGATTGATACTTGGGTCTCTAGTCCTTTAATCTTCTCTTCAAACATGGAAGATCTCTTTCTTGAGTGGTAACAGCTAATTTAGACCCCATCATTTTGTAGGTAGAGTTGGGATTATGTTTTCCAATGTGTATTGCTTTGCATTTATCAGCATTTAATTTCATCTGCCTATGAGATCACTTTGTAACTCTTCACATTCTGCTTTGGACTTAACTCAGTTGCATTCCATCATGTTACTCTGTTCACAGTCTAGACTGATTTCTAAACAATAATCATATGCAGCGGTTCTTTTGTGACTACGGCAGTGGCAGAGGATGGCTCAATGACTAGCACAAGGCCTTTTGTTTGCAAGTTGGCTGACGGACAGTACTGAGTGGAACTCATCCCAATGACCAGTGACTCGGCATCTCAAAAAGCCACCAAGGTAAGAGAGTGGTAGCTAACGGGTGGAAGTTTCCATAATTCATTTTTTTCAGGTTTCAATCTAGTTTTGTAACAAGGAGTTGGGGAAGCCCCCAGTTCAAGTCGCAGTCCTAGCACCCCTCCCCGACACAAACCACCAGAGGCACCTCTGCTGTCACTGAAAGAGACACTTGCAGATTATTATGTACCACACAGAGCCAAAGGAAAATAGACTCAGATGCTCATCTCTAGGCCGCAGGGCTGGATACCTGCTACTCACATAACAGGCATAGTATACACAAGAAAACGAGCGTACAGTAAAGGGCTTGATTTCAGATCTGTCCTAGTAGACTTCCTGTGTTTTCTGGGGAAAATGGAGAGGCCTTCCTCCTGACAACCTAGATCGCCTTTTATCTGTAAGCCCCTTTATTAGTAACTGCACAGCTACCTTTCCTAGTGACTAGACTCCCAGAGGGAATAAGGTGTTCTCTCTCAACTCCTGAATCTTAACTTCTCCAGGAGCATCTAGGCTGATGACAAGTGGTGTCATAGTGATGCTTCAGGACTATGAGAACCCTCCAGGACTTTACTTGTTATAAGTAGAAATCAGGTTTAACGATAAAAACAGATCCTTAATTAATGAGATCTGAAATATATGACAGGAAAACAATTCAGGAATTGCACAACTAGAACTTTTTACAGAATTTGACAGAAACAGAGAGATCCCATCTTGCTTGGAGTTTGTAATCAAAAGTACTGTTTGTCATATACAGATGTCACAATATATACTTGATATAATCCAGAGGGATAAATAGCTCATACTGAAAATATGACAAATAGTGATAGTACATCGCAGTTAACTCACGCGATTAACTCAAAAAAATTAATCGCGATTAATCTCTCTGTTAAATCATAGAATACCAATTGAAATTTATAAAATTTTTATGTTTTTCTACATTTTCAAATATATTGATTTCTATTACAACACAAAATACAAAGTGTACAGTGCTCACTTTATATTATTTTTATTATAAATATTTGCACTGTAAAAATGATAAAATAAAGTATTTTTCAATTCACCTCATACAAGTATTGTAGTGCAATCTCTTTGTCGTGAAAGTGCAACTTACGAATGTAAATTTTTTGTTACATAACTGCACTCAAAAACAAAACAATGTAAAACTTTAGAGCCTAGAAGTCCACTCAATCCCACTTCTTGTTCAGCCAATCGCTAAGATAAACAAGTTTGTTTACATTTGTGGGAGATACTGCTGCCTGCTTCTTATTTACGTCACCTGAAAGTGAGAATAGGCATTCGCGCGGCACTTTTGTAGCCGGCGTTGCAAGGTATTTATGTGCCAGATATGCTAAACATTCGTATGCCCCTTCATGCTTCAGCCACCATTTCAGAGGACACGCTTCCATGCTGATGATGCTCATGAAAAAAACAAATGTGTTAACTAAATTTGTGACTGAACTCCTTGGGAGAGAAAAAAAAACAAAACTCAAAACAGAATTAAACAACTGAGCACAGACCTTGCCCCTTGAGATTCTTCTAGAGGGTGTCAAGAGCAATAACACATTGCTTTCAATCAAGAACTAGATTGAACTGTGCTAGAAAAATATATTTCCAAAGTGCCTTTTCCAGGG